AATCAGCATGACGAAAATTCACTTCTTATGGATTATACGACTTTCTCGGTTGATAAAAACGCCCCAATAGCCTCCTACTAATTTTTGCACTCCCTCAGGCTTGTCTGAACGACATATTTTGAGATTGTAATCGTAAGCACTTTTCCTTGGAACGATACAGGATGGTAATTACTCGTTTATAAAATTTGATGTGGGTGTGGTCAACCTCAGCAGTCCCGCTCATAGAATAGTTTTCTGAAACTGCATTTATCTACACCTGTAATCTAGTATCAACCTTTGTATTCGAAGATCTTTTGTCTGAGTACGGTAACCCAATCTAGTTTTCCGTGCTTGGCTACCTAGATGGGTGGAATTGAGACGTAGCTTTGACATAGACGAGCCGAACACAACCCGATTTGGATGCTGTGACATATGGGTCATCCGCTTAGCCTAGCTAGCATTTAAATTTGTAAACAGCTGTATGATTGATATCGGCTCCAGGAAGGGTGAAAACAGGAGTGAGCTGTCGAGGGTTTTCAGTAACATTAGGCCAAGAAGCCAGATATGCCAGCCGCCAGCAACTGGACCAAATGTGGAGGTTAGGTAACGGATCGACGTTGCCATTTCGGATGCACTGAGAGAATAGAACAAATTCGGATCGATGGTATGAGTAAGCTTTCCGATAGTTGGTCGCGGAATACAAAACGATAAAACAGCACCTAAGACCAGACTAGGAGGAGAAGGTTGACGGGAACTCGGAGACCGCGTCCACCTGCGAAGCTGCAGGAAGGGCAAAACAGATTGTGGGCTTTTGAAGAGCTTTGAGCAACCTTACGTCTAGTGAGTAACTTCTTTCGTCTTGAGGGATGACTTCGTTTATTATATCCATCACATATCACGCAAAGTATCTTTTCATGCACGTTTACTTCTTACCATGAGAGGGCACAACACCCACAGGATAATGTAGCTTGTTTTTTTTTCAGAATGGATCACGTTTGACAAGAACACAGATTCTATACTTCAAACGTCAAGATCGTTGTCCTAATTAGCTGCAAGGTATGCCATGTGTGGGCAGTGCGTGAGAACAATCGTGCAAGTTGTGCATTCCGTGGCGGTTCGTCGTAGCTATTTGTCAGTTGTGCAAGAAAAACAAAAACTCCACATAACTGTGTCGTCTAGAAATTTAGTTTTTCACAAACAGCCCAAGGCGAGGGTAACTGTTGCACGGGTTTTTTTCCTAAAAATACATAACACAAACCAGTATTTCTCGTGTGGCAGTTGAACAAGTGTAATCTACTAGTAATTCGGCTTTTACCATCAAACACTCAATATGCTACCCTAGAGAATTGTACAACTCGAACCCTCCTTAATCTACACAAAACACGGGAGGAATAAGCAACTGACACATGTTTTCAAAGTCCAGGAGTCCACAAAAAGGCGGTTCCCAAGTTTCGAAGCCTTGGGACATTCAGACCCTCGCAACCGGTATGCCAGGGACCGCTTGAATCAATCTGGTCGATGTAAACACGAAATAAGACAAAAATCTGAAATGGAAGTGGGATGTGTGGAGGCATCGGTATGTCCACACTGTCAAGTCAACCAAAAGGCTCGATGAGCCGAAAGCAAAACCACAAATAAAGGTCACTCTCCAGCGAACACAACGTCGTTAAACACCGTCCTACCGACGCGCTGCTAAACAATGACACTACATCAATTTATTGTGCAGTGACGATGTCACCTGGAATGGCGGAGGGAACACCAGTCGCGTGTGCCACAAATAATCCCCTCAGCAGGTTTCACAACGATCTCTCGCTCCACGGCTCTCATTTAATACATAAGTCGATCGCGACGGCTACAGAGTTGAAATCAGATTGCTTGTACTCAATGGACAGGAATCTTTTAATTTTCTGCCTATTTTCTCTTGGGATCTTTGAAACAAACATAGCAACTTTTCTCAAAATCTTCAATTCCAAAAGAAGAATGGGATGCTCCCTAAGATCTACAGTATCTGACCATTTTTTCTTGGTTTGCAACTTCATGCCAGAACCGTATCAGATTTAGGCCATTAAGATGGAAGCCGGTGAGGAAAGTTGTGAAAAGCAGAACCGACAACCCTTTCCCCAGTGATTTTATTTAGGAAGCGGCTGGGAAACTGGAGGTCGATTGAATTCATCTTCGTTAGTTGTATGTGATAGTTGGTGGCAGTACATAGCCAAAAAGCTGAGAATAAGTGGAACTCAAACAGAGTTGCTGGGTTTTTAAAGCAACCATCAAGATGTCTATATGAGACCGGGCCGCAATAGATAAATTTGAAGTGGATAGCTCTCGTTTCTATGCGGTGTATAATCTAGGGACGAAAGCCGTTAGTAGCCGTTGGAAGGGTATACGAGATTGAATTAGAGAAACCACGGGTCAGACAATTTGAAGCAGCATACGGGGGACGCGGCGTGGTTAGCAGGAATACGCTTCTCAGATAAGGCCACTAAATAGTAAATTGGTTTTAGTAACAGAAACTAAGAGAGAAGATTGCTGAGTTGAAAGAAATCAGTGACGTTTTAAGTTTGTTGACTTGGGAGAAAGATTGGTTTTAAACGAGACTGGAAAATGGAGTTAAGGTGGCTAGCTGCGGCAAATAGAATAATTGGGTGGAAAGTAATGGTTGCACAGTTTAAGCTACAAGGAATTCCGTTCCGGACTCCAGAAGGAAAAGGTTCACAGATCGATTGGTTTCTCGGGACATTTAGCTTCCACAAAGGTTTTTCAGTTAAGCGTTGTTCGAGAATGGAGATGACGGTGTTTACTCTGACGTTATTTCAATTTGTAAGCTACATTACGATACTACAGCACACTTGGGGTCAATAGGGACTTATGTTTGCGAGTTTGTTGACTATTTTTGAGGTGCCTTTGGCCAGATGCTGGCGAGGAATTACCACACAATAACAGAAACTGGTTCGGATCTGAGTTTTTCCTTTACATGGAGCTCAGGCTTCTTTGGTCTCACTGAAGCGCACATGGTTCGCACTTCTACCACAGCTTCATTACCTCCGGCAACCAACCAATTAAAACAGATTTCTGCCGTCAAGTAGCCCAGACAAATGACTGTTCATGTGTGTGTTACTTATAGCGACTGCCCATTTTATGAACGCTTACATTAGTGTTTTATCACTACTGCTGGCTTTCCTTCCCATCTGACCTTTTGGGGCCCCAATTTAGCTACTTACCGTCCTCTAGTAGTACGCCAAAGCTGTCCGGGACATGACCGCTAATGCGCCATGAGTATTGTTGCGGTATTAACATCATGACGAATATCGGGTCATTTTTGGCAGAATGCTGCATTCTTATATACATATTAGGGCTACTCCCATCAAAAGGGACTTACGAAGGATGATCCGCCAATGAAGTCTGCAACACCAGGAGCCATTTGTATTCAGTCCAGGGAGGTTATGTCTCTACCGAATGATGTCCGTGCGAGAGATATTGTCCCCATGTGAGAAGACCAACTGAATGAATAATAAGACTAATGTATCCGGGTTCCAAACACCTACTAATGTATTCTTTCTTTCGGATGATTTATCTTCACGCACAGAGACTTTTTTCTGGCAATGAACTTCGCATCTTATTAGCTTGAAACATTAGTGTGGCGGCTGAACCAATCCTAGAAAGAAAATTTATCCACATTTACTGTGGTTTACATAGTCAGGATGTCGAAATAGAAGACAATGTAATACTATGATCATAAAGTGTGTACTAAATCGTCTAAAGGTATCGGTGCTGTGGGTAAAGAAACCAATCGTGACCAATTGACATAAAGGGCTTGGTCAGTGAGACTTCTGCTTGTTTTCAGAAGAACTGTTTCGGACAACCGTTTTGCGTGCAACATTAATTGGGTGGTTGGATGTTTGGTTGTGAGCGTTTTTGGCTAAACAAACTTGTGCTATGTATGTGGTCAGTTCAGTCATAATTCTTTGTTTACCAAAGGTCCATTTCACTTAATGGAAGTCTAAACAATTATCTGAACATCATGGCTTTCGTAGTATCAAATATGTTCAAAGTATAGACAGAAGCCCCTTATTTTATAAAGCATTTGATTACATCTGGTGATTCAACTCCAACACAAAATGTAGTCTCATTGACAGCTACTCTTACCATTACTGTTATTAATATTAATTATCATTAGTTGCTGATCATACCATGATGTCAAAACATCTTGGTGCTATGCGGAAGTCATTTACGAAATTCACGAAAGGTTGTGCAAATTCAGCAACCATCCCTTAGTTTCCTCAGTGGTCCGACAGACTGAAAGTCGAAACACAATGAGCCTGGCGCAGCCTGGACATTCACACACCAGGACAAGCAGTGGAGTGGAAGTCTGCAGCACCGGTCTTATAGATCGACATCAACCTGATTGTTCTGAGTGATGGTGAGGATGTCCGATTCTTTTTTGCTGAGTCACCACAAGTCGAACAGACATATGCAAACAGTTGAGCCACTACACTAAGCTGCCAGCTGACATACGTTTTCGGATTGCCTGTGACACTGATCAACACCGGTGCTAACCCTTACAAGGTTTGGCAAAAACATTCACGATTTGTGCCGATCCATGTGTGTGGCAATCTCAGTGCCCCTGATTCAACATAACGGGGACCCTTGAGGCTGCTACTCATGATAGTACGTTGATGAGTATTGAGCCGAGAATGATTGACTTTATTTTGTCTTCCATTTCAGAAGATATACGTTCAAATTAGCACCAACACTTGCATTGTTCAATTCAGTTTGTACTTTCTCTCCTGGTTGTCGGTTAAAAAATAGAAAGGTTCCGCTTGAAGAGTTACACTTGCGAGAATATGTCCCATGTCTTGCGGTATGACAGGCCACCTAAGTGTATTTTGACACTGCCGCAAATCAGCTGAGTGAAACTGCTTTGGCGTAATTCGATTGGTTTGATCATCCGCGAATCACCTAACCTCCGAGTAACTTAAAAATGCACTAGCTGCAGTGGACCAACCATACCCTGGACAAAGATGTTTTGGCCACAGCAGTCATCAGAAAAGCAAATGTGAGTCCTGATAACCTCAAACCATCAGTTTTTAGTAGACCAAGTACCATGATAATATGGTGGACGAATCAAGCGATCGAGTTCTTTTCAAGATCCTTTCAGTGCTGCACAAGGTATGTGTACATTGATTTGCCGGTTTCAATTTTTATTGTCAGCTAGATGGTTGATTGGGTCATATGGCAACTAAGTTTTCAAGAATTTATGTCATCGCAGCAGATTGTTTCTCATAATTTCCGACAGAGGTCTATATCGTCCACAACCTTTATAGATGTCTTCTGTGTATGAAGATAACGCGCGTGAATACGCTTCGTAACCTAACTCATATACTGAGAATTACTTGTTAAAAATTCGATGCGTTCAGAAATTTCTAATGGTTCCAATGGTCCTGTAGTCACTCAACGAAAAGTTCATATCCTAGCTATTCCGAAACGCCTCAAAGAGAATAGTATCTTCCTGTTTTTGCATAGATGGCGGGTTATCGAAAATTTCCGTTATTTTAAGGGTGATTTTGAGGTTTTGTCACGTCTATTCAAACTGGATATTTACACCGGTACAAGTGACACACTGATTGGTCCCACAACAATGATCATATCTGCTTTCAACTGTACCTTGGCTTAGGCGGGCAAATAACATACTTCGACTTATTCTCTGAAAAATAGTCTTTCGGAACACCATGAGGATTGAAATCCTGGGCAATTTCGATCAAGTATGCACCCATTCGTCTATACAAAGTTTGATTTCTTACTAATTCAGAAGAAGAATCTTTAGGATCATCTTAAAATTCGTTGCCGTGTGACATGCCACATAATTTTTGTGTGTGATACCAATGCCTCCAACGTGGATTTCGCTGTTTTCTTCCATTCCAAAGAGGTTGAATAGCGTGCCGAAGTGCTATGCTCCTTATTACAGAACGGTTCTCAATTCCTGCATTACTGAGATACTCGAGAGCCCAATAACGATAATTGTTCACTAACTGTCAATTTAAAAGCGAGTGTGAGAAGAGCATAAGCCTGAAGATTAATTTGTTTACTTGGTTTTGGAACGTCATTTGGTCGTCCAATTTGAGAAGGGATCAAATTGCATAGTTCTGGCTTGGTCATCGTATGTGGATTGCATACTCTACATTTGTTCACTTAATTCTTTCTCCCCATCATCAAATGCTTTCCCAGGGTTTCCTTGGAGACCTTCATATTCTAGTTTAAATCATCGTTTGGTTTGTCGTTGTTTAACCACAGGAAGGTGTCGACTTATCGCACGATTGGCGCTTTTCTACACGATCGGGGAAAACTGGAGGACTAGCGAGCAAGAATTCGTCGACAGACTACTAACTGTAATATTTTGTTTGATCCAATATATGCTGAATAATAATCGGAGTATTACTTAAAAATTCGTTTTTCGACTACTTTCCTGGATAGCTGCCTGAATTTACAATCCATTTTCTGTACTCGACTACACTTTCACGCGCATACGCTAAGAAAACGAAACCTAATGCTTTGCTCGTCTAGGGTGTTAACATCTGCGATTTCGGTGTGGATGGCACTGGAAATGAAGTCTGACGCAGTCTGGTACAACTCTCCGTAGTCCGCAACCACTCACCCCCTTCCATATATTGCTAAACTTCATTGCCTCCCGGAATCCATTCGTTAGTAGAAAAACTAAGAAAACAGGTTACTAATGTGGGTACAGGTTTCCTCATCAAACTGGTCATTTTCGTTACTAACCTTCAATCATCAGTCATGGTGATATCTCCAGGGGGTGGCTGTTGCATGGCTTCATGTAATTTTTGTTCACCTAGGCCCAATCCAACAAATCACTAGTCGTTTGTATGAATATACCTGTTGGCTTGTTGGGTGAACTGCGTTCAGCTTCGTAGCTTTGAGACTTGACCTATACACCCCCCTACGCCATGAATTCAGTTCTCTTATTCTCACACTTTACTCCCATTATCTTGTTAGTCTTTTGTAGGTAACCAAAGTATAGGTAACCAGAATATAAAGTATAAACTACATTAAAAACAAGTCGGTATTTATCGCTTTTTATTAGAACCTCTCCACAGGTGGATTAAGGACAACAACTGGTTTGAGTGAACCTGTGCTTTTGGATATCTTGCCGTTAGGCTGTCACATATGCATAAGTAGGTACATGAGTTGTAGCCCAAGATGGTAATCCACGGGTCCACTACTGGACTTCAAAAGAAACCAAGAAACAGCGTGAATATCCGCCTAGCATTTCTAATCGACTGGTATCACTCTGAGCGAAACGTGCGAGAAAGTTTAAACGACTAATTTTGCCGCCATATTGATTCGGTCAACCGCAGTGTCATCACTCTCTAAATGCACCACAGTATGAACCGTGTATAACCTAAACATGGGGACCGATTCGCGCTGTAGTTAACAAAAATGACATCTGCATCATTCACTGAAGGTAGCATAATCAATATAAGAAAAAGGGATGGGGCTTGAAGCACAATTTTTCCATCTGTTGAAAGACTGACATGATTCGGATCGATCAGATTCTGCCACATAAGAAACTGAACAAGCGACCATTCGAGATTTGTTTGCAGATTTGTATGCAAGATCAAGCCGGAACAGTTGGGATTTTTCTCAGCAGCCGGCTGTATTTGCGCCATATCACTTGGTTGTTCCCGCCCACTCTGCATAGTTTCCTAACGGAGCGTTTGACCGGAACGTTTTCAGTACTTCCAGGCATTTTAATCCGTGAACTTCTTGCACTCCTAGGCTTGTTTTCGGCCAAAAGAGCGCTTCCACCCGCTGCACATGCAGGCTTTGAGAATACTAGCTATTCTCCGTTTTAAGTGTTGCTATTTTAACATAAAACACGTTTTACAGACGTCGAATAATTTCGACAGGCAAGAGATTTAGCATTCGAGACTTCTCCTCACCGAATCCTTGTAAATTCCTGTTTGAGATCCGCTATGGTAAGTTGTTGAGGAAAATGTGGTTTTGTGAGACCGCAGTCTTCAAGACTGTGCCACATATAAGATTTATGTGTCGTTCTGTAGTGGTTAGTTGCTGATCTACTAGGTGATAGCAGTTGACCTTGCTCAATTTCGAAATGTCTCAACCAGGACTCACTCGCACAGTCCATAGCTAAAAACGAGTCACTCCTAAGCATGAAAGGGCCTTGTTGCACACTGAGGTGGCACCGTCACTTTGGTTGTATCAAATTATATTTGTTATTATTACGTTAATTTACATCATAGGAGAATTTTTAACCGACAATAATTATCCAAGAAGAAGGCTTATACGATTTAAGCCAGATGTATTCATCAGTATAAGTACTCTTTGATTTGCATGGCGACAATAATGCAGATGGAGCACACATCTCCGTTGCTCGGATAACCACCTTCTCGTTTTAGTTTTGTCAATCTCTCATAGAACAGATGCACAGAAGTATCAGAAAGTCTAATTTTAGGTGAACACGAGCGCCGAATTCCCAATAACCCTTGAGAGGACTATGAATATCATAGTTTAGTTTCCCGCAAACTCCTCTTCATTGAGAACTGCCAACAGTGAATATCCTATGAATCTCTGGGATGAATCGAGCTCACAAACTAACTGAAGGCTATTGAAGGCCGATGAGCAGTTTGAATGAATTGAAATCACAGAGAATAAAATTCCACCAAGCTTTCAAACATACAGGTCAAGTCAGGATGTGGTCCTGTCTTTTCCCCTGCTGGATGGATTATCGTATATAGATCAAGGTGAATTGAGATTTTTTGTCAGCAGATGAAGCATACGCTTGAAAAATGTATGATCTCCATCAAGAAATGAGGCGTCTGTAATCGTAGATTGGTTGTTAAACCATACATGGCAGGGAGTGCAAGGAAGTAACCAACAGGTCAAATATTTTACCCTCCAGTGGGCAAACGTCATGATGGACGGGTAGGATAGCAGTGGGTGGGACGGTAAAAAAGAATAGGCTAGTCCTGGAGAGCCATTGACGTTGTCGTACCGCTAAATGGCCAGGAAGAAGCAACGCAACTATTGCGTAGCTTATTCGTATTTCCAGTATTTCTAGGTAGCATGAGTTCACTTTTCACTACGGTGGGAGATTTATGAAGAAAAAATCGACTAGGAGTAAACATACTTTTAACGTGAGTAAAAGCCAATTATCTAGATACATGAGTAGCACGTGATTTGAAATGAGTAAGCCAAAAATTAGTGATAAATCTCAATTTAAGACTAGAAATGGTAATGGATCAGTGATAACAAACGGATAGGCTAAAGTTCAATGTAATTCACGTTCACTTTTGTCAGGGTACAAGCATTTCGGTGAGTCCATACCAAAAGTGGGCACAAATTGAGAGAATTAAAGTGTGCGTAAGAGTGGCATGTCCCTTTCTAAGGCACTTTGCGGCTTTCCGTCATCAGTACCCAATAGCGATTGACGCAATCAATATACGCCTTCTTGGCACGATAGAGGTCAGAGCCTTGAGTAATGAATTTAATAATTTTCAAGCGATTAAACACATTTATTTCAAAGAATATGAGGGTAGTTGATATTCCGGCTATTTTCCATCTGTATGGGGAGGTTTTAGTGTATATTCACATGAGATATAGTCCTGACAATCCCAGCTTTTCTCTTTCTAGACGCGTTTCGGAAACTCAGAAGCACTGGCATTCCACAGAACAGAAGTATCAGCGGTACTTAGTCCTCTATAGATTTCGTACCACTCAGGTGGCACATGTACGGTAGAGCCGCCTGGAAAAGGTACAAACTGTAACTGTATTTTGTGGCATTTTCATCCCGAAGAATGTGACAAAAACTGATCGGACAGGTGCACCGCATGAAAACACCAGAAAGCGCTTTCAAGGAGGATTCCTTGTACAGAACGCACAATAGTCGAACTTTTCACCTGTTGGTTAACATAAACATTGATTAAATCATCTCATGGGTCAGACGGATTGTAACTTCGGCCTAGTTACTTCTGTTTTTTTCCGACAAGCCTATTCATCAACCGACCAAAAATCATCCTGTTTTACCTACGGAGGTTGAAACCATGGTTACAATCTGAACCATGATTTTATCGTGGGTCTTACTGTCTGGTTGAATTGGGTGTGTGCTTTAGTTCTGAACACAAGTCACTGCAGCAGAGTAAAACTTGCTCCGTGTTGCAGATTCCGTTGTGAAAGTAAAAGCTTTTGCGTGGGACTTTGTATCTGAAAACCACATTCTTGCTTCACATAGTTTTGTAGAACCTCATTTGTTTTTTGTTTAGCAGCTGTCACGCATTGTCGAAACACATCCCTTATTACACTGACCATTACTTTTCACAGACCAAAGCTACTAGCCGTTTATTTCATGAGTGAAAGACAAACTGATCACCATTGACAGTTTTTCGGTATGCGAATTAACATTAAGGAAAAAGTTTCTGGCATTTTCAACTGAAGGCGGAACTATCACTTTTCAAATCTACCGGGTCAGTCGTTTGTTGGATCATGAGTTTCTGGCACTGGCGGAAGTTCGATTGTTTTTACCCACAAAATAATTGGGGGAAATTTATTTTGGGGAGTATTAATGTGTAGTGGAAACGCCGATTTTCGTCTCCTGTATCTAACTCTATCAGCAGCTACTGTGTAGGCTCATTCGTCTGCTTGTGGCTAGCATCATTTGTTGGTTTTACGACAAGACATTTGTGGATATGGCTTAGTTTTTCTGAGTGGTGGTTGGAGGTAACCTCATCTGAGTACACTTGCGTCACCACATTTGGTCAAAATTTCCTCATTTTACAGATAAGAAGAGTGTCTTCCATGTTCTCAGGCTGGGTCGTCTTGAAACGTTACGGACAGTAATTTTTTTATTTCGGTGTCGAACTGTAGGTTACCGTGCATGGATGTCAGTTTTTTTTCAAATGCTCCATTAATCTGGATGAAACAGGGATCCTAGCTTGTCCTTAAATTAATCAACAGTAAGCGAACGCAGAGACACTCTTGAGTGCTAATTTACGACAAATAAGGCGTTGTAGGCAGCAAAAGTGACAACTGAATAGGCGTGATCCAGATGTCCAAACTATTGGTTGCGCAATTTCATCTTATGGTGCTTTGATTTCTGTCCAAGTGAAACCTTCATTGCCGACCCTGATTTACTCTGTGATCACTGCATCACCGCATCAGACAAAGTCGCCATGCACCGGCTTTTGCCAACACCCCGCCGATAGGTTCCTTCTGACTTGGCTGTTGTAATTCGTGGTTAAGGGAAATCCCTTAACCCGATTTGTCTATCGAAATCGATTAGTACGATCAACGGGGTCTAGCTGATACTTTCAGGTCAGCCTGTCGGCGACAGGTGTTTTTGAAGTTGAAAGGAGTCCTCCTTATTCGGGAAAGTATGAAAGATATTGCAGGTGTCAACGAACTGAAATTGCATGGAAGCCTGACATTTTCAGTGAACATGGAAATGAGGTATGCGGTGTTGCAAAGGAGAAAAATTATCATAATAAACGAGGGATTAAGACGAATCTCCAGTTACAACCAAATCAGTCTGTGGATAAGTGCAGTTCGCGAATTTGGAATTTTTGGGCTTCAGCAGATCATCAGCTTGAGAGAAACCCGGGAACAGCACTAAATGGATAGGCCCCAAGAACGGCAAAACGGATCGTTGGTTTTTGAAGTATATCCGATAAATTTATGAGTATTGAGTTGCGTAAAAAAATAAGTTAGTTATGTGCTGTTGCAATTGAGGAGTTGGAGTGTCAGCTACTTGTTCGTTGTTCATGGTAATACAATTTTGACCAAACTGGTCAAAAATATGACACAACAAAATAGATAATTTTACAGGTAGTTGGTTCAATTAGTACAGAAGAAACGCGACATCTAATCGACTAAATGTCAGATTGAGGCGTTTCTTATATTCATGATTGTATGATAAGAGAACTGCTTTCAGGCTCTCAAAATATTAGGGATGTTCATCTCCTTTGAAATATTTTTTACTTGAGACGGTCCTCTGAATCCTGATTTCGCTTAGTCTGGCAATCACAACATACCTGGAAAATTTGATGACGCACTGAGGAATTGCAAAAGACTACAAATATGGTTCAAACCACTGGAGGAAATGGGAATTCTCCCATGTGTTCACAAACCATGTCCAAAATTCTGCAATATTTTGGGCTTTTTCACTGGTCCTTTTAAGACAGGACTCATCATTATGGTTTGCAACTTTGCCAATGGTGTTCACTGAACAGTCAGATATTTTCGCGGAGCAACAAGTGTCTCGTTATCAAATCAGTATGGACGGAAGCACTCCTTAGTTTAATTTTCCCTCTTTCAAATTGCGGTTTATAATAAAAGCAGAACAAATAGTGCATCGTTAGAAACCAGCTTATCATCGTCTGGTATCATCAACTATTGATAACTTCCCTTTTTCCGCTGAGAAGTTCAGAAAACCCTTCCGACAAAGGGTAAGACTCGTCAACTTAGCTGAATGCACGCTGCCTTCCAAAGTTCATACTAAGTCGGCGCGAAACGGTTGCTGAAAACAAATTTGACATTTTTTGTGGAAAGTGTTTTTTTGCTAACTTTTTCTGACAGCTTACACAAAATTGATCTCAATTCCAAAAAGCACCGCGTTGGCGAAATCCTGATAATGTAGTCGTCCGACGGATGCACAGAGTAGGCTTTTTCGGTGAAAAATAGTCACGATAAGCTAAGCTTGCGGTGGCAAATGTTGGGGTGTTTACCTAAATAGTCCTCAAAACATAGGTGCATTATCGTGGTTTTGGGGTCACTGCGAACCAAGGACGTGCAAAGTATCTCGTGAGGCGCGCACTGTTGACGATTCACAGCGAGAGTTAGACAACAGTATAGCGCTTCCCGGCTTTTCCGGTTAGATTTGCTTTTCTTACATGGTGAGAACTCCACAGAGAATCCTAGTCTTAGGTCAATATTCCGAAAGCGTTTTGGAAAGTTTTGATAACTCATTGCAAAAACGTCAGGTGTAATTTAGGCATATACTACGGGGATAGATCATTTGATATTGTGAGAGGATTTGTTCAAGGGTAGGTTGAATTTGTGTCCCATAATAACAAAGAACATAAAATTGTAACCGGACTCTTTGCAATAGTAAATCCATAATCGGTAGCCAAGCAAGTACTTCCTGCTCGGCTGCTTTACGTGCCGACTGGTTGAAATTCAAGGATTTGTGGGCCCCCAGCATACTCGACAGTCCATCTGCTAGATATTGCCACCTAGTTCCACGACACACAAACTGCTCCTTGTATCGTTTCTAGTTCTTAACGTGTACTGACAACATGCAACTACTAGAGTGATTTTTCCGCAATGGTTGTATTCAATCGCACCGGCTACACCCTTAGTTGGTTAGTTCAGACCATAGACGCTGCGTGTCAAATTAGAAGACCACTGTCCTCATTAGTGGGCTAGGAGGAACGTGCAAGGTATGCAACGTATCGAAAGAAAGTTTGAGCAAGGTGTGCAGTCCGTGAAAGTTCGTTATATCTACGTGTCAGTGGTGAAACTAAACCAAGCTATCCGTGTACGTGTGGTCTGGTTGGCGCATAGGAATATGAACAGAGAGTAACGGTTCGAGGACACTGGTCTCACAAACACCGATCAGTAGGAATTCCGCTATGATAAACGTTACGGTTTAATGCGAGGGTTACGGTGAATTACGGATGCAATAATCTGAAATTTCAAACACTCCAATTTTCCAAACTACGGAGTGAGCTATCTCACTTACTTTTTCTTCTTCGGAAATCCATTAGAGTTTGTTACCTAGTTGATACGGGTACACACAAGGGGGCCAAAATGTGGTAGACCATCCTTCGTAAAACAGTGGGCTTCAGAATTGTTCGTCAGAAAGTTTGTTCTACGGTTTTGTACCAAAACACATACTCCTAATTTGAGCCAACGTGTGAAAGCTGTCTCTGCTGATCCACACAATATCGGTTTCATTTTGAGATATTTCTAATCCAGTGCATTCACGAGGCCCAGAGCTGTACAGTGCATTTGATACGGATTAAAGTTAATGTCCTTCATGGATTAGGCCCTCAAACAGCCTAAAGGGGTAAAAATACGCACACTGTTTGCTAACCTTAAAGTACCTGTAAAGTAACCGAGACAAACGATCTTTTTATCTAGGGGTTCATTTACAACAGGATACTATTCGCTTCAAACCCATACTTCTTCGAGACAAGACCCTTCGCAGGTAAAGGTTTCCTCAGCCTTTCCAATTGGTTCCCGCTTAAAAGAGACCATTATTTATCCAAAGGTATATTTGTAACTTTACGGACTTCGGATGTGCCACAGTTCACAGTATTTTTCTAGCATGCCTCAGCAGCGGCATGTCTACTTAATTATGAAACATGTATTTCAGTCACACATTTCTTCTGTTTATGTCTAGCTCAGCTATCGTCAGCGTTCGATACGTAGTGATTGGCCATAAGTAGTCTCTTTACAAACGAAATTCACACGCGCTGCACAGAGGACGGCAGCCTGAAACCATTGTCTAAATGGTTACTTTTCCGATCTCTAGATGCGCATCAGATGAAATCCTATACGGATACAACCGGTGGTATGGCTAAACTTATCAGGATCGCGTTTCACTGCAACAAGCTTTACTAATAGGAGTATACACTTAGCTTATTCTTGAGTCTCTGAATCCCACAAGTTCGGATTTCACTATTATGCGTGAAATGTTTTATCTTCGCGAACTGCAACCACTGATGCGCAAACCGGATTAAGATAAATGCTGAATTCTGTTTGAACCTGAATGACGATACTTGGTTGAGTGACATTCAATAAATAACCTCATGCTTGAAGAGATGCTTGTGGGAAATGATGAAGAGAGCTGAGTTTGTTGATCAGAGAGCTGTAGATAAGTTGATTGCCGAAGGTTGCCATCTACGCGACACCATTGGCGCGATGTATTGTGGGGCGACGTTGGGCACTGGTGATTAACTCGTGAAAGGTCGAAACCGGTAGTCGGCTTTTTAGAGTTTGAAGACTTGACGTCCATCCCTACTGCCGACTCTAACAGTATTTTCAAGTGGCTGAAAATACCTATAAAAGGCATGACGAGGGTAGCAAACCAAGCATGTTTTCTATGATATTTTCTATTGACTATTGCATCACAAATTCATACGGTACCGGAAATTACGTACCTACACTTTAGTGAAATGAAAATCAAAGGGAGGGGGGTCGAATGAGTAGTATGTCAGTAGGTCATGGAGTCAAGTAAATAACGTCAAGTCGGACAGGCTCGTTGGGCCGGATTTTTCGCAGACCAGCTCAAGTTCAAAGTTCGTACAATTTTCTTTTGGACACGAAGTTGTGGGTCCAGCAGTTGGCTCCTAATCGTCTGTGGGGTCGATGTTAGTCTGGATCGTACCAGTCGTGATCAGTTCAAAAGTGCCTGGTGTATGGTATCGAAGGCTTGTTCTTTGTCTGTTATTTCGGCGGAATATGATGCAATTTCACTTGGACTTGGTTTATTTCGTCTACCACTCAGAGACACATTCTGTCTGAAAACTACTTTGTCGTACGACCGATTTATGATGCTCGGCACTAGCATACACATGAGTGTACACACAAGCTGATGGTAGAACGTGGCACTGTGTCTTTCAAACAAAACCAGATAGTAGGGCTGGAATTGAGGCTCGTGTACAGATTAGCAGCGATGTATGTTGTATCAACAGAGTTTCCAAGCCTGTCGGTAACCAATTCAGCAACCGTGTCACCTTTGAATGGGAGTCCCATGTAGACGGACCTTCTGGCAAATAAACATTGTTTGGGTTGGGGCCTTACAGATTGCATGGTCTTGAGCAAGAACCGTTCAGGATATCTCTTCTTCAGGAATGTGCGTCCCAAGAACTTTAGTTCCCCTTGTAGGCAGTCGAGGACCATATGCGTCCCAAGAACTTTAGTTCCCCTTGTAGGCAGTCGGAGGACCATATATTTATTGCTCTCACTGTCAGGTATCTAAATAGCTTACGTTTCTTTTGCAAAGAAACTAAGCTATCAAAATGAATACGCTGACTTTTCCACGTCTTTGTGCTATCTGGTCCCGTCAGTGTTCTTTTACTACTGACGCTGAGGGAACTTAACTATCTTGTTATATCTGACTCCTACCCCTGCTCTAGTGCCTAGTGCCAGAAAAAGACTCACCAATAAGCAACACAACAGTTTTAGTGCGAACAAGCAAGTGAGATAGCGTGAGTGCGAAAATACAACAATTTTAAGATATTTTGTTGTAGGGACACTGTCTGGCCTTGGTCCAGCGCTGTCTCGCTCTATCTGGCTACGATATATGGCTAGAACGCGCTGCAACTTGGGAGGGGGGCGTTTTCTGACCTTGACTAAGCGCTGACGGGCGACATTCGACTTCGATAAACGGCTGTAAGGAGCTGCATATGGGAAAGCGTTTTTCTCCTGGTAAGCATCAAGCGGAGTTGAGGCCTTAGTAGATCTTGGGCATTCAGTGATTACTTTCAAGAATCTAGTCTTCCCGACATGTCCGTTGTGTTCTGGCCCGATAGTGAATTTGCTATGTTGTTGTGGTGACAATTTCGTCGGCAAGTACGAAGATATCTTCCACGTAGCGACAATACAATGAGTGTACTTAATTTTCGCATCTCGAGTTTGGTCACAAAGAAATCTGTCAACAGGGGACCTAGAGGAAACCTGTCGCTCTGCTGTTCTTCTACAGATAAGTTTTGACTGGTAAAATTAAACTTAACATTGTAGGTACAAAGCAGCAGTAATTCCTTAAGATCCGAGATGGAAATGTCAACATCTCTACAGTCAGAATCGATCAAGTCACAAATACAGTCTATTGTCTCAATGAGTGGCATGATACTAAACAATGACTCGACGTCCAGGGAGAAAATAGTGTTCAGAGCCTTCAGATCTTTAATCTGATCTACTAAGTCAAAGCTGTATCATAGGCTGTGCCGAAAATTCTCTCGTGATTGTTTCTAACAGATTGACAGGCCATTTAGCCAAGGCATGATAAGGAGCATTAGACATAATGGGGATGGGCCTGAGAGATAGGCCAAGTTTATGCACTTCCGGGAGACCATAAATGCGGTAGGGTGACAAGGCTCGAAAATATAGGTATCAATGAATCCGTACTGTTCAAGATGCCATATTCTGCTCCACTTTATGGGGTGAAACCAAAGCCAGTCAAACGGCATAAACGATAGATTCAGGTACGTTTAATTCGAGTATCCCAGCAAAACTCAATACCCGGAGAGAATCACTCCAAACAGAGAAATCAGACCACCATCTGATTGAAATTCCAACGGTCTCCAAAGCATATTTGATAGTTGCATGAAAAAACCGCACAAATGTATTAGAAGCACACGCTAAGTTTCGATCGCTTTCGACCTTTAACCAAAAGCGACATTTTTGCTTAGATCTACATGGGCATTGCGCATTCCAAATTGAAACAGCCGTTGCTTTTTCAAAACAACAAGAACTGGTGAAATGTGACCTCCGGTTTAAAAGTACAGAGAGAAGTTCGATAAGAATTTTGCCGTCTCCTTTTTATCAAAGAAAGATCTGGTAATAAGAAATGACTAAACATTTAAATAAAATTTATATAT